CATTTACGCATGTTTTAAAATTTTTTAAAAATAAAACAAAAATAAAAACACCACTAATTAAAAAAAACTTTCTAGTCGTTATTATTGCGGTTAAGAGACTTTTTTTACATTAAAAGACTCTTTCGACTACACTATGAGGATATATATATATATATATATATATATATATATATATATGTATATATATACATATATATATATATATATATATATATATACATGTATATATATATATATATATACATATATATATATATATATATATATATATATATATATATATATATATATATATATATATATATATATATATATATATGTATATATATATATATATATATATATATATATATATATATCATAGTTGACATAGTTTTATATATATATATATATATATATATATATCAAAGTTGACATAGTTTGTCAACTTTGGTCAGCCCAAAGTTGACAAACTATGTCTCTATAACCTTTGTCAAGTCGACACTTTTCATAAGTTGACAGATTTCCTGTCGACTTTACGTTTGAATGAATTTTAGTAATGATTAGTTCAATGGAAATTAAAAAAAAAAGATACCATTGTAATGTCTAAATTATACTCTATGATTTCTATGAGATTTCTATGAAAAACATCAACAACAAAAAAAACGCGCAAAACTATAAACATTAACTTTTTTTAAAAGCGCGTATGTTTTCTCGTGTTACATATACAATCTATAGGCCGATAGTCAAGAGATTGCATTTTTTGTTTGAAATATAAAGATATATTTATTATAAATTTTGTTTAAAATATAGATAAACTATTTAGTTAAAATAATATACGACTAGTTTAAAAAAAATTAACATTTAGACATTATATAATATATTATTTTTGACTATAAGTAGACTCTACTACTCGTAAATCTTGTGTCAAGTCAACAATAATAAATATATAGACTTTTATTTTAATATTTCTATGTTTTAATAATTTTTTTAAATATAAATATATGTAGAAATGACAATAATCTTTAATATATTCGTATAAAATTTATTTTATACTATTTCTACGACGTCAAGTTGAAATATATGTGCATGCGTTAAAATCGCTAAGTCAATAAATTTTCTATTTCTATTTAAAAAAGCGCTTAATTGATCACTTAAATTTTTTTCTATACAAATACTTAATCTACGCAACATCTGTTAGTGAAAAATGAATTAAAAAAGAAAAATTTTATGTCAACTTATGGTGTAAAAAATAATTGCTGTCGACTTTGAGTAGACTCAGGCTTGTACATATATAGGATAAAAATCAATAATGTATAAAATATATATATATATATATATATGTATATATATATATAAATATATATATAAATATATATACATATATATATATATATACATATATATATATATATATATATATATATATATATATATATATATATATATATATATATATATATATATATATGTATATATATATATATATAGGATAAAAATCAATAATGTTTATAAATATATATATATATATATATATATATATATATATATATATATATACATATATATATATATATGTATATATCCTATATATATATAGGATATATATATATATATATATATATGTATATATATATATATACATATGTGTATATATATGTATATTTATGTATATATATGTATATTTATATATATATGTATATATATATATATATATATATATATATATATATATATATATATATATATATATATATATATATGTATATATATATATATATATATATATATATATATATATATATATATATATATATATATATATATATATATATATATATATATATATATACATTCACACACACTTATATATTAAATTGTTTATACACTTACTATATCAATTCATCTAAAAAATATTGTTGCTTTACAAGTTTGGGTATGGTTGGATTTTGGCTATTTGTATTGAGTCTTTTTTACTGCAGTATAAAATAGCTGTAAGTTGCTGGGTAAAATATTTTTGCTGATAACATTTATCTGACCTGATAAACTAGTTATAAGTGCTGATCCTCATAGCAACACCAGTAATATAAGAGGCGACTCTGAGGAGATGTTTACTACTTAACCACTACACATATTACATTTACACTAGTGAACGGCAATGTATTGTTTGACATCATTAAATATGTAGATGAATCGTGTTCGATGTATCGAACATGATGCATCAAACAATTTATCATTACACAATGCATTTTAAGACTGTTAAACAATGCATCAAAAGAATAATAAAATATAAAGCAGCTAGATTTTAAGATAAAATTTTATTTAGTTATTGTTATTTGCTTTTGTTATTGTTACATTAATCATCATTTCAATTAATCATTATATTGTTATATTAATCATCTACTATAATCGCAAAAAAATTTTACAAAAATTAAAACAATTTTTTTTTTCCAGGAAGTTAGTCAAACTAAAAAATTGTTCACGTCATTTGTTTTATTCATCTGTCTTAAGTTTTGCTTAATATAAACAAGTTTTTCAACTTTAGACACAAACAGATCTGTTTTCCTATCGCCACAGATATTTCCAGCTGTGGAAAACACTTGTTCAGAGCTGGAGAAAGCTGCTGGAATCGCTAATGTTCTTCTGGCAAAGTGGGTAAGTTGTGGATACTTGAAAGATTGGTTTTTCCAGTAACAAAGTATATCCCAATTAACGACAATTGGTGTTGTTGTCAAATAGCTTTCTATCTCCGCCTTAATCTCCGCTATCAAAGAGGTGCTTCCTTCCGAGATATAAACACTTTTCCAAAAATTTGGATTTTCAAACTTTTGCAAAACCTTCTTACGTATCCAACTGTTATTTTTTCTTGAGGCTGTGTGTGTGTGTCTGCGTCATTGTATCTTCTGTTTTATCAATGAGGCCTTGCACATGTTGAACACAGCTTCATTCAAAAATATTTTGTTTATGTTGTACCTTTGCCCAATACCATGTAATTTTGATCCTTTTTAATGTGGACCTAACATGTTTGCATATGTGTATTCTAAAACTGTAGCTCCACATTCGGGAAATCCATCATGCATTTACAACAAGTAATGATCAATGACTTCTTTCATCATGGGATTGGTGAATCATACGATATTGAATGCATCTTCCAGATCAAAGAGTTTTGGAATGATATGGACTACTTAAACTTTGTTCTCTGAACTTGCAAAATTGGATAGTTCTTTAAACTTTTTAAATAGTTCAATTATTGTTTAATCTCCTCTTCATCTAGTATTTTGATGACTAGCTTTTGTGAAACATATTTTTTTGCTACATTTTTGATGGCAGACAGTAGCTTATTAATTGATTGTAATTGACGAAGCTCACTTCTCCATCTGGTTGAGCAACTTTGAACTAATTTTAATTGTAATACCTGAAATTTTTGATGCTTCAACAAGTAGTAAATACTTTGACTTGTGAGAATGATTGAAGAAGCCACCCAGTCCTGTCAACTTATCACTTAAATCTCTCCACAGCACACATTTTGAGGCAGCACTTTGTACTATCAAATTTATCTTATGATCAACACACTAAAATATATCATTTATAACACTATCTTTTCTGGCTTTCTTCATATTTGCTCCACTGTTGCATATTATTTTTGTGTGCACATTTGGTCCTAAGCTTAGGTCTTTTGTGAATCCTTCCAATCTTTTTGTGATTTCTTTCAATGAATGCTTACCAGCAAAGTGTTGTAAGGTGACCGAAAAACACTTCATTCAAAAATCCAAATCAATGTAGTGCGCAGTCATAGCAATGTATGCTGTGTTAGTGGTCTTGTTGGTTGTTGTCATTGATCATGGTGAAATAATCCAAAATTAAAGAAACTTTGGGCATTTAGAAGTGAAAAGAAAAATAGTTTAGCTATATTGCACATGATTTATCGTACATCATGTGTGATATCAAAAAACACATGACAGTTATTATTTTCTACATTCTAGAAAATAATTATTGATATGTGTTTTTTAAATGACGTAAAAATTTAAAATGAGCAATACTTATATATTTCTTATTAATAAGTGTCTTAATAGTGTGTCATATTTATAAGGCGTTTAAGTTAACAATTTATGATTAACAATACTTTAAACAATCAATTTAATTTAACCATTTACGATTAATAACGCATTAGGCAATCTATTAATTTTAAGATTATCAATACAATAGACAATCTATTTACTATTTCAGAAAAAGTGTAAAGATTGTCTAATGTGTTATTAATCGGGAAAAGTTTTCCCTTGTGAAAAATAACGGCGTTGTAAGAAACATAATCGTAAATCGAAAATTAACTAATTTAAGTAACTATACAACATTTTATAATTTTTCTTTATATAACACAGTAATCGTTCCAGTACATTTTTGTTTGATGCATTGTGTTCGATGCATTGAACTACTATTTGCTTTTGATATATTGATCACGATGAATTGTTCAATGCATCGAATATGATGCATCAACATGTCATTAAACGATACATCGCCGCTTCCTAATTTACACTAGCATTAATGTTTGTTATTTTCTATTCTTAGGCCTTACTTTGTTATATGCATATTTTTTATTTTGCAGTCAATACTTTAGTTTGTAACTTTTTGTTTAGTGATATATTTATTGTATATCATATTAGGTGTTTATAAAAAAATATATAAATATTTTTCTAAATATTGATTGTTGCAGTTTCTGTTTTAATTTTGTTGTCATATTTGTATATTTTTTAATAATCACTGTTAATCTTTATTTTTGTTTTGACAACTTTAAAATATGTTTTGATCAAAAAACAAAACTCTTCTCTAATCTGATGTATAACATTTTCCCCTCAGGCATTCACTGCTCGTATGTGATCACTCAGCAAATTTATATGCCAAATGCCAATTTTAAGCAACAAATTTAAATATTAAATAGTTTTTGGGTATTAAAATATAAATTATTTTCTTTTTACATTATAAATCTATTTTATAAATACTTGAATAGTTTTGTTTCTCTTTAGATAGTAGCATGCAACCTATTATTCTTCTACCTTCAGGTATATTCAATATTAATTTATTTATGATTTTGTTTTATTATTATTTTTTTTTAAATAAAAAAAATGTTTTTTAAACAATGATTTTGGGCAGAAGCGAGAGTAACTTTTACAGAAGCATGAGTTACATTTTATATAGATTAATTTAAAAATTTTAAAAACATCCACCTTTTTGCTATTGATCCAATGGATCCGCCACTGAATTGAAACCAAATTAAGAAGTTTTTTTTTTAGTATATATCTAATGAATAATAGTTTTATTGTTTTTATTATTGCTTTAATATATTACTGTAAAACTATATAAAACTATTATTATTTTTTATTTTATATTGTTTTTAAATTTCAAATTTTAAAAAAATAATGATTTTGATTGGTTTATAAGCAGAAGTTACTTATAAGTAACTTATTAGATTGCATAAAAATTAATTATAAAATTTTGAAAGCAACCGAATTTTTTTATGAAAAAGCAGTTATAAATAGTTGTTTGTTGATTATTTTTTAAAGTATAGTTTTTAGTAAATAATATCTGTTTTCTGTAATATTATTTCTGTAAAGTTACTAAATTTTGTTGTTATACTAAATGTTGCATTAAAAAATGTGATATTACAAACTCCAAAACATTTTTCCTTTTTTTATTTAACTTTTAACAATTTTAAGTCACTTTAAGTGGTGTCTGATCTAATATATGTAATATTGTAGTATATAATATTTTGATTAACATATTTTCTGTCTCAGTAATAACATGAACTAGTAATGACAGAAACTGATTTTATGTTGGGGAAAGTGTGGCTTATTAACCATGGTAAAGATAACTTACCTACAAAAAAGAAAACACTATTAAAAAGAAAAAGTAAACACTATTAAAAAGAAAAAGAAAACACAATTAAAAAACCCCTTTGTTTTTCTTTTACCTACTAGTATTTTACTTTTTTGTTTTACTTCATTTTTAATTAAAATTATTATTTAAAATTTGCTTATGAATACTAACTACTGCCATACAAGATAATTTTTAGTTTTACAGAAGTTTGTGCAACATAAACGGTTTTCAATACTAGTTTTTTTTAACAGCATAAGCCAGAATTTTTTTACTGGATACACTTTGAGACACTTTACAACATAATCAAATAGAAACATCATCAGGTTAAGAATATAAAAAACTGTTTAAAAAAAATCAAATCTTACTTTTTTAAAAACTCAAATCTTACTTTTGCCAAAATAAAATTGATAGAAAAATTAATGAGGTTGATAAAACCTGAAAACTTACATATGTAATTTGGTAGAGTCAATTTAATTTATACCACATTTGTACCAAATAAAATTTGGATTCGAATTGAAATATAGTATAAATCAAAGTTATGAAAATTGTAATTGTATTGAAAAACAAGAAAGGATAAAAATTTTGAGTGTAAATGTTTGTGGTATAATTTTGAAGTTTAAATTTTAAATGGAGAGGAGAAAATTATTACAAACAGGAGTTTTTCTTATTTATGTTCGAAAATTTCAATTCAAAAATGGATTTCACTAGAATTAGAGATGAGAAAAGAAATAAAAAAATGTTTTGGTTTAATTGCATATTTTTGATACTATTCCAGATTGCCATTTCTTTTTTAAGATAGTCGGTAATGCTACCCTGTTTTTTACAATTACAAAAAATATAAAAAATAAATATATAGTCTTATAATTTGTTCAAATTTTTTTTAATTTCCTATTTTTATTCAGTCTCTTTGGCTCAATATGTATTTTATTTTTATTTAGATTATATTCTTAAAAGTAAAGAATTTACCATTATTCATGATTCATTGGTTGGAACCCTCAAGGTTTTAAAGAAAGTATACACTGTATCTTTCAATATAAAACCAACTAATTACACTAGGGGTTTAAAAAGTGTTCTTCACATAACTTTGGATAATAATAACAATGTTTATGGTGACAGAAATCCTGGCATTTGGTTTCATGAAGATGGTTCTGGTAAACTTGTCATTTTTGCTGCAGTGAATGGAAATACAACGTTCTTCATTGAAACACCTCCTCTAAGGTTAGGTGAATGGTCTTATATTACAATATGTCAAAGTTATCTAGAAAGTAAATATTGGTTTTCTGTTTTTTTAAATGGAATCAATATAATTAGAACAGAAAATTCTGATGCTAGAGATTTTAAAAATATGAAAGTGTATGTATCAGATAGTTGGTATGATGCTCAAGATGGTTACATCACTGATCTACTAGTCATTAATGGACATGCTGGTAAGAATAACAAATATTTTTTTTAGTTATTAACAATAATAGAAATTTAAGTTTCATCGTTTTTAACAGGCCAGAATGTTATTATCCAATTACAACAGTTTAAATTACTAGTTTTAATTTAAAATTTCAATCCCTTATGGACAGTAAAATTTAGGGTTATATATCAGAGCTTTTCTTCTAAGTATTTAGTCTTCAGGGTTAAAAACCTTTACCTACTCTATAAAATAATAAAAATGTATAAATATTTTTGTTTTTTTATATATTTTACTCCCAACAATTTTGTAAGAAACCACTATTATATTGGCAGTTATTAGAAAACAATGAATAAAGTTGAAGAGCAAGGAAATCGATAAATATTTTGAAAAGTTAAAGGTTGTATGAGTCAGGAAAACATGAAGATAGGAGAGAGTTCCGAAACATTAAAGTGCAGGGTGCAAAAAAAAACTAGATGAATAAAAGTTTTTGGAGTATGAAAGGACAGATACAATAATAGGATACAGTAATAGGATGCTACTTTGCGGAATGACAAGTAAATTGAGAATAAATTTTGGTTGATGGAACTGGAAATGATAGCTTTATTGAGTAGCAACTATGTTAGTATTTGTAGAAAAGAGTAAGAGATGCAACCTTATGGTGACGAGAAAGAGGTTTAAGATTGGCAGATAAAGCAGGTTTAACAATGGGACTTAATCTATCGTTATAGAGCCTTTTTGGAGTTTGTCTAAAAGAGTAAGAGCATCATTAAAATAATTTGGCCAACAGTATTCCTTACAGGGACAAATAAAAGATTTGTAGAAGTAGAGAATGAAATCAGAAGTAAGATAACGGTGAACACAATAAAGAGCAACCTTTTGCAAAATCTATGCAAAATGTTGTATATATGGTTTCCATTAGAGGCCTGTTGTGAATGATAACCTGAGATGATGTATAGATGATGACTCAGTAAGAGAGTTGTCATTCAATAATATAGGAGTAAATGATGTAAATAACTTAGTTTTGTTGGAGTTTAAATTCACTGAAAACCCTAAACTGTTACAAAAGAGAGATCAGATTCAAAATTGGCTACCTTAATGCATCTCTTATGTAACCTCCTGGATCCAGGCAGGAATAGAAGCTTTTATTTTCCTCTTGTTGATTCCAAATCGGTTCTCATTCTACTCTTTGATTTTCATTTTCTTGTGCTGCTGTTATATCTAATTATAATCTTTATTTTCATGTTTTTTAAAAAAACAACTCTCTTAACAACAAACCCTAATTTATTATTGCAAGAGATCTATATGAAATAGTGCTGTCTGATGCTAAGCTCCATGAATCCCAGTAAACTGTTTGCAAAGAAATTTTCTTCTGATTCATCTCTTAAATTTAATGGATACACTCTTCCTTTCAATCTAGTTATACAGGTTAATCTATTGTTAGATATTCATATCACTCCAGCTTTTATTGCTAAAGTCATATTTCAATTAAACTCTTGTGGCTTGTGGTCCATACAACATTTCTGTCATAGTCTTACAAATGTGTTTTCCAGAACTCTCTTCAATTCTAAACTATATATTAAGTGCTCTTCTTGCATGCTGGAAAATGACATCTTTGGTTCCAATTTTTAAAAACCTTGGAGGACATTCTGATCATCTACACCCTACCACTATCATACTATCAATCTTTTTTCTTTTATTAGCAAAGTCTTTGATTTTTTGGTCAACAAATTTTTATCACTAGGATTTTTAATCTCTATGACTGACAATCACTCGGACTTTTAATCTCTATGACTGACTTGCTAACTGATGTGACTAAAATATTTTATTGTGCATTAGATGGAGGCTTTAAGGCTAGGACTATTGCTCTTGACATATCTAAAAAATTTGATAAAGTTAAAGTTAAAGGCATGTTAGTCTTCTCAAAAAGCTTGCTTAATTTGGTGTATCTGCCGCACCAAATGATTGCTTTTTAAATGCTTTATTAAAGTCATGCTTGCAGGCCAACACTCTTCTTCATTTCCAGTAACTTCTGGTATATCTTAATGTTCTATCCTTGGTCCTGTTTTATTTCTTATCTCCAATATTGATCTTCTTGACAATCTTACATCTAAAGTGGCTCTATTTGCTGACTCAATTTTTTAACAAATTGGGGCTTGCAATGGCTTGTTAATTTTAACTCCAACAAATCTCATTTGTTTTCTACAAATAGTAATTGCAATACTGTCAATATTTCTATATTGATGAAAGGTAACCCTCTCTCTCAGTCCTCTTCTTTTTGTTTTCTTGAATTATCATTTACTACTGACCTCTCATGGTAACTTTATATACAATTGATTACTAAGTTAGCTTCAGCTAAGGTTGCTTCTTTTTATACTGCTTGCCATTTTCTTACTCTTTACCTTGCCATATTCTTTACCTTTACAAATCTCTTATTCGTCCCTGTATGGAATACTGTTGTCATATCAGTTCTTCTAATAATGCTCTTTCTCTTCTAAACAAGTTCCAAAATTGCATTGTAAAATCTAGTTGGACCTGCTCTATCTGCCATCTCAAAAAGAGCTATCATCTCTAGTTCCATTAAGTAAAACTTATTCTCGCTTGCCTCATCATTTAGCAAAATCTTATAATTTTACTGTATCTGTTTTTGCATGCTCTAAAAATTTATTTATCTATTTTTTCTGCACTTCATCCCTTTGGAGCTCTCTCCCATCTTCATGTTTCCCTGACTAATACAACCTAAATCTTTTCAAGTTTTCTGTCAACCAATTCCTTGTTTTATAACTCTATTGTTTTTTTTTTAATAACTCCCAACTTAATAGTGGTTGCTTGCAGCTTTGTTAGTAGAGAATACGAATTAAAAAACAAAAAACAACTTGTTCTAAGCAACTGAAAAAAGAAGACATTTTGTTGAGACTAGTATAAAGTTAAGTTGTCAGCAAATAGAGCTGTTTTAAATGTAAGATTACCAAGAAGATCATTAATGTAAATAAGAAACAATAAAGAAACAAGAAGAAAAACTTGAGTTAACCCAGAAGTTATTGAAATTGAAGAAGTGCGTTGGCCTTCTAAGATAATTGTAATAGTGAGGTTAGAATGAAATGATTCAATGTTCTCAAAAATTAGTAGAAATGTTTTTTTTTTTTTTTTTTTTTTTAAATACGTTTTATATTTGTTAGTGTTAACAATCATATCATTGGGTTGTATGAAACCCAAAGAAAAGTCAATTGATTAAAAACAAACAGAATGCAACAAATTCATGTTTATGGTTGTTATATGAAAAGCGAATTTCATTTTACTGTACTATATTTAAGCCAATACAGAAACTCATGCAATTTCTTATGCTATACAACTATGCAAAAATAACTAGTTATATATTTATAAAAGAATTAAAAAGTGCAAAATGTCTAAGATACATATTGAATGCACGGAAGCTTATTTAATGAAGTGATATATTAAATTATTCTTCAAATTAAACTATTTTTTAAAAAAAGTTATTTAACAGAGTAAATTATTTAATTTTATACACTAATGCATATTTTTAGATGTAAACATAAAAGTTAAGTATTAGTAGTTTTACAATTTTCAATAAATTTTTTTATTCTTATGGCATTCAATAACACAGGCTGAGCTTTAAATGTTTGAGCAATTTAAATGATTTTTAATTGATTTTTAATTGATTTTTAATTACCACATTTGTAAATTGTTTGATATTTGCCTCGATCAGCTGAAAACTTTGTTAAAATATCTCTAAATTGCAAGCGTTATAGTTAATATTTGCTTCAAGAAATTGGTTTTGAAGTGTATTGGAGTAATATGCTGTTTCGACTATGGTACACAAAGAAGCCATGTGAGACAAAATGTTATCATGTTGTCTGATACTCTATAATTTAATAATATAATAATAATATAATTTTTGGAAGTTCCATGAACCATTGATTCTCATCCTCATTTTTGTATACTGTTCAGTTGAAACAGGTGGCATTGATTTTCATATACTAAATAACTCCTAGCTGTTGTGATGATATCTGCTATATACTCAATTAGCAAAACTGTTAAGTACTGAAACCAGTATAAATCAAATGCTTAGCACAGTTGCTGCACTTCTATTGTGTGTTGTGTTCACTTGGTCCAATAAATTAAAATTTTGAAATTCTATTCTACTCAAGGGTTTTCTTATTTAATATTAAAGAACTTCAGTAAAAATTAGTAGCCAATCGGAAAATATTTAGGGGTCAATAAAAGTTTTAACCTTTTAAGTATTCTGCCATGAAATTAAAAAAATGTTGTTTGATATTTTCATATTTATGATTTTAATGTTTTATAAGTTTTGAAATTTTGAATTAGAAATGCAATACCGATCTTCAATTAATTGAGAACACATAAGATGAAGGAAGATCATTTTATTTCAAATTTCACTAACAAGCATCTGTTTTCCATTTTTCTGAATCTCTCAGTTAGAATCTTCACTTTGCTTCAAATCATGTTGATATCATGTTGATTTAATTTTACAACTGTCTTTTACAGCAAATTTTCTTTGGCATGGTAAAAATAGAGACAACAGATGATATCATTGTTCATCTAGTAAATGAAAAGATAGATAAGTTCTTAGATAAATCTTACTATATTCGATAATCAAATATGGGCGTAACTAAGCTGGTATAAACTGTTTTAATGTTTATAACAATGGAACTTCAGCTCTCATTAAAAAGAACTATAAATGCTAAAGTTGATTTAACTTGAGTAAAGTTAACTGTGCAACTGGTTAGATGACAGATGAAATTGAAAACACTGTCAAGAAAAACATCATTTTAGTTTAAAAACAAGTTGTTGTTAGACCTCAATATTTTACTGATAAATCTATTTAATAATACTGAACTTAAGTTATGATTGAGATACTTAAGTTATTAATGTGTTCATGTAATTAGTTCTTATAAGCTGCGAATGGTATAAAAAAAATGTTGCCTGAAACTTGATAAAGAAAAAATTTAATAAGACAGTCCTTCTACTCTAGAAGGTGCTGCTGTGGAGGCAAAAAAAAAACTTTTAAACTTTCTTTAGACAATTAAAAGTTTTTTTTTGCTACTTTTATTTTTTTACTATAAATATATGCTGCAGCTGTTTTTCAAAACGCCTTAATATGCTTATTATGTGTTTTTAGAAAAACCCAATTAAAAAAAAATTATTAGGAGAAATTTTTTGTAAAACGTTTTTTAAAATAAAAAATTTTTATAAATTTTTTTAAAAAAATGTAAATATTTTTAAAACTCTTTAAAAATATGTATTCAATAATGTTTGTAGACATCTAAACTAGCTTATTTTGTCAAAATTGATTTTTTTTAACCTAAAGGTGTTTTGAAAAACGGCTGCAGTATGGATGGTAAAATTTTAAGTATAGAATACTTGCAAATAAAGAGGTGTTTGCAAATAAAGAGATTATTCGTTTTTTAAAATAAAACTAATTTTTTTAAAACTTTGTTGTATAGGCAGGTTTGGCGCCTAACCATCCCTATATAAACAATATATATAAAGAAGTATGTGGTTTGTTTATGTATTTTGTTTATAAAATGTAAACAATGCACTTATATAACGTTTTATTTAGGATCATATGAAATATAAGTAAACATTTCAAATAATTACAAGTCTTTTTTGCTCAAGCTATTTTGTTTTGAATTTTGTAGGTATGTTATTATTTAAAAAAAAATTGACAAGATTGAAAAAACACCAAACATATTGACATCGAAGTGGAAAATTTGAAATTTCAGTTTTAGATTTGCCCTCTCTTAATAATTTCTGATTGCTAAAATTATATCATCTGCTTCTTCGACCTTTAAAAGTGATAGATGCAGCTTTTTTGTAAATTGTTGAAGCCACAATTTTTTTGCATATGTCATGTCACTTTGTGGGAAAAAACTAGAATAACAAACTAGAAATAAGATTTTATTTAAATTTTTTGGAAAAAACTCCTGCTATTAAAAATATATGGAATATATTTTTATGGGATATATTCTAATAAAGATAAAAATTATTTATTTATTACTTTTGTAATAAATACAATTTCTTATCTGTTAAATGATATATCTGATATACTTTTATGCAATTGTATGCAACATAATTAAAATTAATCAAAAAATGTAAGATAAATGCAAAAGAAAACTCGATGCATAAAGGTTTATTTTTCCACAAACTGGCGTCAATGCGCAAAAGTTTTTTGACTAAACTTTTATATTTGCATTTAATATTATTCTTTAGTTTTTAAGAAATTCTTATGATTATGATTAAAAATCCTTATTAAGGATAAACTTTTTTTTATGACTATGTTTTAGTGGTCTAAGTTCTTCTTAGTTCCATTTGTAAAGCATTACGTACAAGCCTCTATAAGTATAAACGTCTTAAGCATATGTTGAGTTTGCAGGCATTATATGGAATAATTGCAAATAATATATCTATGAAATTTTATTTTAAGTTTTAGAAATCTTTTTTGCTATATTATTATTTTTTGCAATAAATATATCAGCAAGATGGAAAAAATTTCGAAGTTTATAATGCTGAGGTCTTAACCTACCTCCACCCCCCCATCCAAAAAAAAACAAAATAAAACTGACAGCGCACTTAACCACTGAGCTATCAATGAAATACATTTAGCAGAAAAATAAACCTAATTATGAGTCAATTATAAGCTCTATGTATGTGGAAAAGGTGCACATGTTAATTTTTGTTTCCCTTAAGGTTTTTTTTCTGAAGAAAATTATTTTACTGAAAAATATTTAAGTAAATAGGAAATTGGTATAGAAATAATCGGTGTTTTATAGATATGTAAAGAAATGGTAGGTTTGGAAAATACCCGTATTTTATGCATCCGGAAAGCAGGATATATAAGGAAAATGTATAGAAAAGTTCGGTTTGAAATAGACTTACAAAGACCCATATTTTTACGGGTCCAATCTTAGCTAGTTTTTATTATTACACCAATCAGTATAACAAATAATTTTCTATTAATTGTTTATTCAACTAATTAATAGTAGTGCTAATGCTTGTGAAGAGTTTTTGGTATGTTGTTCATAACAGAAGGTTAACTGATTGTCTTTTTTATTTTGTTCTTTTTTCTCTGTGAGTAAGCTTGTAAACTCTTTATATTTTAAATGACTTTTTAATTATTTGAATCTTCAAATCATTAATTAAACATGGTGGTGCTAAACCAGCATATATCTTCCATGTTTGGAAGATATATGCTGATATTCTTGATCTAAGAATAACATATTCCATTTTTTTAGGATAGGTCTTGTGTGATTTTTGGTCCATACATAGACCAAAAACCCCTAGAGCTTTCTTTTGTAGACATTTGAGTTGCATAATTTTTTTTTTTTTTTTGATTTACTGTTTCCCAAATTTTAATATCAAACATTAAATTGTTTTTAATTAAAGCATTGTATTAAAAACTTTAGGTTCAAGTAACAATAGTTTATTAAAATTTTGAAGATACCTTTACCTATCTTTTTTGATGACTATAATACTTAGTAGTAAAACCTTGTTAGTTATAAAATTGTTTTATTTTAAAAAAATATAAGAAATTTATAGTAATAATAAAAAGTATAAAGTAAAAATAGATTTAAATGTTAATTAAATCATATTTTAGAACAACTTGTTGGTAACAAAAAAATTCCATTAGAAAAAGGAAAGATTATTGCTGAAATACCAAAGCTTAATGAAGAATATTTAATTTCATTTGATTTTTATCCTAATGATTTTTTTCCTGATTGGCGTAGTGTTGTTCATTTCACTATTGGCTCTGATTATGAGAATTATGGGGATAGAACTCCTGGTATCTGGTTTGAACCCGGATCTAACAATAAAAAAATTCATATTTCAGCGCCAGTTAATGGTAACCCTAATGATATATTTAGTACTCCAATATTGAATTTGATTCAAAAAAATCAGTGGTCAAATATTAAAGTTGCTCAAATTTTGTTAAACAAGTTTTATACATTTACAATCATTATAAATGGAACTGTTGTCTATGAAAAAGTAAACAACAAATATCAAAGTTTTGATAATGTAAAGGTATATGCATCAGATCCTTGGTATGAAGCTCAAGGTGGTTTTATAAAAAACTTTTTTGTAATCAATGGCATATCAAGTAAGTTTTAAAAAGTATTATTAGGTAATGATTTTTTTTTTTTTCATTAATGATTAAAAAAAATTGATTATTAGTAAATATTACTTTTTTAAAGTGTATATTACTTTATATAGAGCATATTATATATTATGTGTCAGTGTTCTAATACAGTTTTAGAAGTGGCAGTTTTGTAGATATAATTATTTTAAGTATTACACCTACAAATTTACAATTTATTATTTACAAATCAATATTAAAGTTGCATCATAATAAACTGATGCTAAATTCATAATTTTATTTACTTTTTAACTGTTACATACTTTTCAACTGTTACATACTTTTCAACTGTTACATACTTTTCAATTATTACATGCTTTTCAACTATTACATACTTTTTAACTGTTACATACTTTTTAACTATATTATAATGTTCTTTTACATTTTCAAAAAAATCAAAACTATGCATTTAGCATCAGTTTTTTAAATTTTTAAATAGTTCTTAAGTTAATAAAAAATGACTTGATTATTATTGTCGGACAAATTTTTGCCTATTTTTATTTAATATTTTACCTAAAAATCTGCTATCCTGGGTCCATTCTGTTTTTTACTACTTTTCTGTTATGTAATTGTAGTTGTTTTGTTGTGGCAGGTAAACCATCCATATAACCAGTCTCCTATACTGTGTAAGATTCTCTAATACAACTGCTATAATTGATCATTGCTAAATCTATTTTAGCTTTTTTAAATATTTTTTGTTTAAATGGCTTCTTTTGTAAGATTGCTCAAAGTGTGCATTGATGGGTTTGTTAAGAAGTTAGGTATTTGCTTGCATCTTGTTATTTCTGTTGAGTATCTAATTTCATTATCATTCGTTCTTCTGCCAGCCAAATAAATTAGTTTATTAGTTTTTTATTTAAAATTTGAAATAGTTGTATTAGATATTTTTCTTCTTGTTTCAAGAATTATTGTGTTTAGTATTTTTAACCTTTCTTCATATGAAGAAAGATTAAAAATACTAAATATAGCAATTCTTTTTATGTTCAGTATTTTTAATTTTTGCATATACAATTATTAATAAGTTACGATAATCGATGGTTAGCTTTAAACTATAATTACACTTTACACTTCCCCTTGCTTTTTTGTAACATTGGCATCTTGTTTGTTTTATATTCAGGCAGCACAACGCATAATTCTTCATCATCTTCTGGATCCTCATTTAAAACATTGTCATCTTCTACTTGTCCAAGATCTTCATTCGAATTGTTGTCAACTCTTACTTGTTTTAGGTCTTGTACATGTCGACACATTTTGCCCACCTCTACCGTTTGCTCTGAGATTAACCCTGTAATTATTCCAATCTTTTTTTGAGAGCCACATTGGTTATCAGGGGGTTAAACCCATACTTTATGGCCAAGTTTAATTTATTGTTTATCTTCTTATAAAGATCTTTTGCGGTCTTTTTGTTTTCAGTTTCTCTTACTCTATTTATGTATTGGTATAACTTATTTACAGGTGTAGTAGATGACTTACAACTATCTTTTGGACTAACGTTATAACAATAAACTGCTTCCAGTATACTGCACAGAACTCTCTTTGTTATTCTTTTGACAGTTCAATGACATCATTCTGCAATTCCATTTCCAGAAGGTAAATAATTGAATCGAAGTTTAATGCTCCATTATTTACAAACTGCAAAAGAAATGTACTTCGAAATGCAGTATTATTGTCTGTCAGTATTTCATATGTTCGAGAAATATTGCGTTTAATTCTTAAATAACACATGCCCTGGCTTGATCTTTAAGATATTGCCATATTGCATACCATGTAAGTCCACAGTTGATTAGTGCTGCCCCTCATAATGAGTTATATTCATGCTAAGTCATTGCCACTTTCTTTTTACTTCTATTTACCCTTTTGGCCATTTTATTGGACTTGGATCAATTGATTGACAGGCTATTTCTCAACCACTTGTTTTACTTCTTCCTTGCTTACTGATGGGTCAAACAAAGTACAAAACTTCTTCCTTGCTTACTGATTTAAAAACAAAGTACAATGTTTTCTTCATGCCATAATATCTTGTAGATCTATGAACATGCTCAATTCCTTTGGAAGGTAGCGAAGTTTTAATCATGCCACTTGCTGCCATTTCAGAGAGTTTATCACCTGTTTTTAACCAAGTATTAGGCCCTTTAGTAAGAGCATCAGCCAAGTTAAACTTCGAAGTGACAAGTTTAATATTTACTTTGAGTTGGTATTCTTCCACTATATTTGCAATATTCTGGAGTATTTATATTTGCAATATTTTTATCAGCATTTTATTTGAAGCTTTTGCCCTCACTCTAGATTTTCCAGTGAGTGCGTCAGTAACGCAATGGAATACTGCTTTCAAATCAGTGTAGAAATGCAACATTTCTATTTTCCAGTTAAGGCTCATATGTAGTCCTTTAATTACTGCATCAAGTTCGGACATGTTTATATGTGTTGTGTCATCTTTACTTAACCAACAAGCGCCTTTGATTATATTGCTATCAACCTTGACAATCATTCCTAGTTCTATTGAACTAGCATTTACCCAAATACGTGATGAACAGGTATTATGTTTTTATTCACAAAAATATCATCAATGTATGATGACGTTCCTTTCCAGATTGTTTTTTCTTGTGATAACATTTTGTCCAATACCACCAGTCATTATGATTGGCACAACATTTGTCATGCCAGTCATTATGACTGGCACAATGTTTAGTCCGAATCCCAAACCTGTTAAACAAATTTTTTTGGCATATCACTTCTTAGTCCAAGTAAACATGATTTGTTTCTTCCCATAAAACAAACATCATGAGTTGCAGATATTAATACTCCACTAAAAAGCCACTATTTGATACATACCCACCAATAAACAATAACCAAGTGGTTTGAAGTCAACTACAAATACTTCCGCAAAAACTTCATACCCATTTAGTGTGACAATTCGAGTTTGGCTAACACCTTCGCACTGTTGTTGTTGTCCATTTACAGTTACCTCACTAACTACTTTCTTGGTAATTTTTGGCACACTTTTTTTATAAATGATGCAGCAGGTACATCTAGAGTCGATCAACACATCTCCAAGAATGCTGTTAATGTCCAAGCAAATAGAATGTAACGTCATTACTGAGTGTTTAAGGAGATAACTGGTGCAAACATCTTCCCCTTTGGTACATTTTTGGATACATTCTTGATATGTGTCCTTTCTTTTGACACAAGTAACACAAAACATCGCTTGTCACCCGTCTTCAACCTGACTTGTTTTGATAACTATTTCTTTGTAGATAACTATCTTATGCAAAATGATTGGGGAGTTTAAACTCATAGCAAAATAATTGTGTTTGATCTTTCATAAAATTTTCATTAGTTCCATTGTTCTGTTCTTCAATCATAAGTGCTCTTTCTCGCGCAAGTATTTGTATAGTAGTAAGATCATCCATGCAAGAATGGTTTAGCCTCTTGCATGGATGATCTGCCTCTCCATGATTTAGCTTTCGTCTAATAATCTGTTTGCAAGCTGTAAATGCATCAAGGGTAAATGCTTTTAGCAATGCCTCTTTTATTCTCTTAAAATTTTCTTTATCAGTTTCTGCTAACTGTTGATATTCTGCAAATGTACCATTTGTGAGACAGAGAGGAACAACATTTGCCAAATTGGTTAAACCAGTTAGTTTGCATACCAGTGCAACTTTTTCCAGCTATTCTGCAACTGATTGTTGATCGTTTCCACTAAATTAAATTTAAACTAATTTTAGTTAGATCAAGATTATCTTTTTGTAAACAGTTTTTTAAATATTCGAATATAATGGCTGAAGTATCAACCAGTAAATTAGCAAAATCTAACAATTTTACAGTCAAACCATGCACTGAAAAATATCTAATTATAATTCGAAATTTTTTTATTTCTTTGTGGTTGGAAGCGTTTATAGCAATAAAAAAATAGCCATCTCTTAATTCCTCCTAAGTTTGTTAGCATATTCATTACTTCGGAATGAATGTACTAACAAAAAATTGCCCTATTTGAGCTGTTGTTTTCTTGGATTTTGAATTTTTATTATGAAGTTTAGTACTACAATGTCTAGAAATCACAGGGGCGTCTGTACTTCCAATATCGATATCTGATGAACAATATAAACACAGTGCAAAAAAATCTTTTCACTTTTTAATACCATCAAAATCTTTAGAATATTCTCCTCAATAAAAGTTCTTCCTCTTTGTAGCCATTATACAATTTAACAGTAATTTAATTAACCTTGAAGATTAAAACATTCAAGTTAAATAAAAGTTATTGAATTAAGTACATAAATGCTAAACAAACAATCATAGGTATACATCATTTCATATAATATACATAGATATAGATGTATAATTATCTATATCTATTTATATTATATTTATTATAATATATACCTATATTTATGTATAAATAATATATATATATATATATATATATATATATATATATATATATATATATATATATATATATATATATATATATATATATATATATATATATATAATAAATTAGTAAAAACACATCTAATTTTCTTCAACAAGTTGTTTTGCTATTAGTAGGCTATCAGGAAGAATGTCTAAATATCAAAAAGTTCAAGTTATAGAAAAAATATTTCACAGGAAGTTGGGAATTGGTTTAATTAATTATGTAATAACTCTAGTTATTTTGCAACCAGGAAGTTGCATCAACTACATTAAAATTAAAAAATTAACCATGAAAAGAATTCTTTAGAATTAGGATAAATTTAGTCTGGTCATTTGTTTTTATAATTTTTTAAAAAGTGCTTTTTTTCATGCTGCATGTTGAAGTTAAATTATAGGAAAACATTGAAAAATAGAGAAAAAAGTCAAAGGAAAATCTTTCACTACAAATTTGATAGAAAAATTAGATTTTATTTCAAAAACTTTAGCAAATGTTAACCCAATTGATGATGCTTATTCAGATTGTAAAGTGTAATTATAGTTAATGATTATTTGAAAGCTAACCATCACAAATTATTATAGGCAGGCACAGTTTCTAGAGTAGACCAGTTTAAAATTAATATTTTTTATGTTCAAAAGATTGTTTTTGGTTAGCATAAGGTTTTTTCTATTTGCCCTCGTTTAAGCCAATATATTGTTTATTAGGGTTGTTTTGCAAAGACACAATGCATTGTTTCCATCAAAAAATATCATTTACAAATGCATTACAATCCATTTGTAAATAATATTTTTTGATAAGCATTTGCCATTCATAGGGCAGTTGCAAACAAAAAATGAAAGTATTTATTCAATATCGATGCTGGTTAAACAGTATTTTTTTGCCTCACTCTACATTATAAAGTTAAAGTTTGCCCGGCTTCAATTATTTCTGCCAATGTCGTATCCGGTAATTTATATATTTATATTCTAAACATTTAAGAAGCTTTATAAGTTTTCTAAAAAAAATATATTTGTCAGCTCCACAAAGATCTTACACAAACTGATTATCTTTGAATGTGTTGAAAAAGAATCTTTTATTTTTTTATTATTTACTGTTATTTGCTTTAATATTTACTTTGATAAAGATTTATTTTATTAAAACTATTTTTGTGTTGCCATAATTTTTTTTATAGATAGCAATATGCAACCTATTGTTGTTCTTCCATCAGGTATTCTTAATAGTGATTTATTCAGCGATTTAATAATTATTAAATGTTTCAATAATTTTCTATCACATAGCATTTGTTATGAAAGAAAACATAAAAGGTCTTGTTTAACATTTAAATAAAGGGTCATCCATAAATGTCACACAACTTTCGACCGTTTTTGACCTCCCTCCCTCCCCCTCCCCCCCTCCTTCATCATAAAATTGTAACACTTTCCTAGCAAGTTTTATAACACTTTAGTAGCAAGAGTTGTCACAAAACCACTAACCCCTTTCTACCCTAAGAGCGTGATGTAATTTATGGGCGACCCCTAATAATAATACATGTAATTATATATATATATATATATATATATATATATATATATATATATATATATATGTATATATATATATATATATATATATATATATATATATATATATATATATATATATATATATATATATATATATATATATATACATATATATATATATATATATATATATGTGTGTGTGTGCGTGTGTGTGGGTGTGTGTGTGTCTTTGTGCTTATTTAAAAATGGCTTTTTCCTGATGTCTTTAAAATATGAGTTCTGCAGCAAGCATTCCACAATTTTTGAAATCATTGAGGTTATTAGAAAAGCTGTCAACAATAAGTTTTCACTTGAGGTGTGTTTGTTGGTCTACAGAAAGCACTGTTGATTATTCTATCTTCCTAAGTTAACCAGAACACTACAGTATTAAAGGAATTTTTTCCAATGTTTAACCTCATAGTTTATAGTAACACATCTTCTTTAGTTAATTGCACTTCAGGTGTACCTCAAGGCTCTGTATGAGGGCCATTGATTTTTCTTGTTTTGAATTAAGATCTTACTCTATCGCTAAAATATGCAACTTCCTACCATTTTGTTGATTATACTAACTTGCTTTTTATCAACAAATCATTAATCATGATCTATCTAATCTAGTTTAATGGCTTTTATCTAACTACCTAAATATTTATCAGGGCGCAATAAACTGTTTTTTTTTATAAATGTTGACATTTATACCGTTATTTATTGGCAAACATCTAATTTAAGAGGTGTATGTCAAATAAGGGAGTTGGATTTTCAAATAATTTTTTTATTCAAATAATCTTTTATTAAATTATAAGGAGGTTTTAGTTTTAATTAACTTTCTATTGTAGTTAATAAGTTATTAGATATATCAAAGATAATGCTTATAATTCAATCAATTTTTTATTTTTTCAATACAAAGTGTGCACAAGTTAATTAATGGTTGTTTTCCACAAGATGAAAAATATGCGAAGTGATTTTTTTGTTATGACAAAACAGCGTTTTAATTTCCATATATTATTTTTTGTGCTATTATTTTAGTTTTTAAAAGCCAAATAGCAGCTATAAGTTTACACTGTATGCTTTTGAAAAAAAATATAAAAATATAAAAAATAATATTTGATATAATATTTTTTTAAAATGTTTAAGAAAACAAATGCTAACTTCTCATAGGAACACTTTTGTGGAAAAACTGTTACTGCAAAGAGTAACAGATGGTTTAACTCTGAAAGAAGATAAACATTCTTGTGAAGTGAAACTTTCGGAAGTGACAGCATTAGTAAATTCATCTTTATTTGATAAATTAGGTAATGCTTGCCAATTTTTAGGGTAAATTCTAAGAAAATCAATAAGAACACCAAGTTGAGCATTTTGTTTATTGTTGTTTTTGTTTATTGTTGTTGTTGCTATTTAAAAAAAACAACCTTTAGTTTTTATTTACTGTTGACTTCACGTCATATGCTATTTAAATATGATTTCATAACAATCTGCAAAAAGTCGAAATGAATGAAATTTTTGGCTGCAGCAAATGATTGATCAGCAGATATGTTTTATCTGCGCATGCAATTATCGACAAAAAAACTCATCAAATATTTTGTCTTGTAAAAAATGCAATAACTTAATGATTGTAAACTGTTATCAATTAATATGAAATGTGAATTTTGTAACTAAAATAAAAAGGAATTAAAAATAAAAATAAAAGTTGTTGGCATTTTTTTTATTAAACCTTTAAAAATGATAATATTGTATTAAGTATTTAATAAGTTAATATATTAAGTTATTAAATGCTAATTATGATATTATTTTTATAATATTTATTTAATAATAAAAATATTATTACTATAATAATAATCTAAACTATAATAAGCTAAATAATTCCTTATATAATATATTCTATTAGATTATATATATTTCAGTAAAACTTAAAAATTTATTTCAAAACTTTTAAAAGTGTTTTTAGTATGCAAACAAACAATTCTTCACTTTAATGATAAAAAGAAAATTAAAAAAAAAGGGATGCTTTTGAAAAAAACAATGTTAAAGTAAAATAAATGCATTCATTTAAGTAAAATTTTGCATGTGCATTGTTAGCTCATGTAAAAACCATGCTAAAACATAATTACTTTTCTTTTTAGCGTACTTAGTTATTTAACTTGAAAATAATGCAATTGAAAGTTGATTACTTTTGAGTTGTTTGAGCTTGGTTTTTATTAATGTTGTTGAAAAAACGTTTAAAATATTAGTAACTAATTGTTATGAGTTTAAAATGTTAGTAACTATTTTTTATTATAAATACGTGTTTTTTATAATTAAAAAAAATTGCTGAAGTGATGCGTTTGTTTTAAAGTGTTTTAAGCGAATCCCAACGTTTGCTTAAGTAAAAGTAAAGAAATGTGACAATCGTTTTTCTGTCTTTTTTTAAACAAATGTTGGCACATTCATTGATTTGTTGCGCCCTGCTAATCTTATTTAATTCAAGGTAATCTAAAATGAATAAGCCCCAAAATTTTAGGTGAAATGGTCAAAAAATAACTTTGCTTACCTCCTTAAAGTATCTTGTAATCAAAATTGATTCAAATTTATCTTTTTTTTCATTCTCTTTATGACTTAGCAATAAAACTATGTAGATCTAATGGGATATAAGTAAAAATTGATCAATATATTAATCTTGAAATCCTAATCATCTTTCTATTGAAAATGATCAAAGATCTTTTTCAGCTATTAAATTGTCAATTTGTCTTTTATCATAAACAAAAGTACCTACTCAGCACATTTTTTTAGTTAGAGAAAGCTTTTGCTATCGTCTTTGATCTGCTATTAACTATAATCTTCATGTACCAAATCATTCTTCTGTAAAATTTGAAATAAAATACATAAAAAATCAAAGTGTAAATTAACAGAACAAATTCACTTCTATTATTAAGATTGAAGTTCAAAAACTACTTTTTTGATTATTCCACTCATATTTTCAAATTCACATTTTTGTGCTCTCACACTCACACTTTCAGAATCTTTTGTGAAGTCTAAAACGCAATCTTAACAGTGTTTTGTTTTTTTGTAACAGTAAATTAATGTACTTTTTATACCTACAATACAATTCTTTTTTATAACTTTTAAAATACTTATGCATAAAAATACTTTTTAAAATTGCAAATTTTTTTTAGAATTAAAAACAATAGTTATATCAAATTTTCATATTTTCGAATGGGTGGCATAAATGCGCAAAGTGTTTTTTTTTAAATTCATGCTATTTATAAATTCAATTACATGTTATACAGCTCATGTGATATACACTCAATAATGGACTGTGCTCTTTTTGAAAAACTCTGTAGATTTCCATATTTATAAGTATTAATTTGTCATGATTATAATAGAATAGTGGAATTGCATTCACTGAAACTATGATTTTAAATTTTAACTTTGTTTGTGGTTTATTATCTTTATATTACCTTTATAACTAACTGTTGCTCCGATATCTTTAAGAAAAAGTGAAGTTTATTTTCTATTGGGAGTCCTGTAGCTTCAGTTTTTGGTCAACAAATGTTTCAAATTGCATCATTTTCAAATATGACTTGGTTTTATGTGTCATCTTTTTTTTGTGAGGAACAAAATCTTTTTATATCTTAGTCTGGCTGTTTTATCTGAACAAAATATAACTTATAACATTTGTTGTTGATGGCTTAATTCTACCACATTTCACATACCATTAGAATATGTAGTCAATATCCATAGTTCAGCAAATTTATTGTTAATTATTGTTACATTTAGTAAGACAGAAGACAATTGTATTAATTACAGTTCTTGTCATTTGATATAGATCATATAGAATATCTTGAATGCCGTTAATCAAATTCGATTTAGAATTCCTGGAATAGATTAAAATTTTGTCAATAAATAAAATACTTTTATGGTTTAAGTTATTATCCACATTATTTCATTTAGATTTAGTTGTGAGTTTTATCTTTTACATTTTTGTTATCATTCTTTTAATAGTTTTACGTGAGTTGTACTCTTACATTTTTATTATTGTTTTCTTATTCTTTTAAATTATACAGGCTAACAAGGGTGACATCTGTTTTTCATTTTCCAATGTCCTTATTTTTATCAGCAATTATATTAACATCTTAAAACAGCCTTTTTATTTAATCTTCTCTTTCTTTTTTCTTCTTTCACTTTTTTATTTTGTAAGTAAATAATTAGGTTTAGGTGAGCATTTTGTATTGAAATATTCAATATTGGTTGTTGTTTTTTTGTGGAATTACTATGCTATATAATATAAATACTCTTAAAATACTTAAGAATAAAATTTAAAGAGATCAGTATTTTTTCACTGTTATCACAGTATGATCAGTATTTTTTCACTGTTATCACAGTGTGATCAGTATTTTTTTACTGTGAAAGTGTGTAAAGTGTGATCAGTATTTTTTCACTGTTATCACAAATCAGTTCAAATTACCTGAATGACTTTGTATGTTTATATGTGCCTCAGTGTTTTTGAGCATATTTTTTAAAAAAAAGACTGAAGAAAAATAAGAAACATAACAGATATCTGTATTCTACCACGCACAAACTCTTAGTTGATTTATAAATAAATCTGAATGATTTTGTATGTTTATATGTGCCTCAGTGTTTTTGAGCATATTTTTAAAAAAAAAGACTGAAGAAAAATAAGAAACATAACAGATATCTGTATTCTACCACGCACAAACTCTTAGTTGATTTATAAATAAATCTCGA